GGCAGCTCTACTCCAACTGAGCTACAAGGCCAGCCTTTTATAGATCCGGTTCCTGTCTCACCCTTCTGCTTCAGGCATGGTAGCTGCAGATATCCATGGGACGCTCGCGGTCCCACCTCCGACCGCCACGGAGGGAGACCACGCCCTCTAGCTACAATCCTCTGTTCCAGTGTTTCCTTAGTTAAACCCCTCCTGGTCAACTGGCTGCTTTCTTTATTCTATGTTTGGTAACTTTCCACTGCGCCGAAAACTACACCCCACTCCGAGGGGATGGGTAAAACCGTTGTTTCTCAGGATGTGGTCACTCCTTAGTAACCTGGGAAGGGGAGAGAGCAATCAGATGTGGAGCTGGGAGGGAGCAGTTGGGAGTGGCTGGGCCAGGACAGTGGGACTGGGATGCAAAGCTTGAGGAGTGGAGATTAGGATCAATAAGCAAGGAGAATGTAGCTGGCATGAGGAACCAGGGATTAGGAAGAGACAGGACGGGAATGGGGACAGGTTGGAAGGGATGGGGCCAAAGAAGTCAAACTTGGGTGGAAGCAGGCAGAAGAGTCTGAGCCATTAGAGCACACATCCCTCCAGAGCCTGGAAGGGAACCCAAGATTCCTGAGTCTCGATCTGAACAGAGCTAGCTCAACTCTTTCATGACGTCTTCCTCCTACAATGAGCACAACCGATCTCTGTGTTTGTATTGGACCTAGTTGTGCCTCTAGATAGGAAGCTCTAGGGGGCAGAGGAAGTACAGTACAGTACAATACACTACAACTGCAGAATGTTATGTGGCCATAGCTCGATACACAAACAATTATGTTACAAGTGCCCTATTAAGGTTGCGACATCAAGCACTCAAAAATTAGGCAATGGCAGAATTAAGGTTGGCTGCTTTTGAAATGTTACCCCTTGTCTACATTGGGGCTTTTTCAGCTACATGGATGCAGCTGACTTGGTGCAAACTTTTAGTAGATGCATTACACTGGCATAAGGCATTTTTTATACCGGTGCAGCTCATCAGCACTATGCAAGACCCTTGCACCAGTGCAGCTACGTGGGTGCAGAAAAACCAAAACCAAGACCCAACATGCACGAGAGAGAGAGAGAGAGAGAGCGCAGCTCGGCCAAATGTGGTTTTAAGGCAGTATTTGATAGGGGGTGGGGGTGGTTGGGAGGTTGTTCCAAACATGGTGCAGGGTACTAAAGAAGATGAAAGGCTGGGAGTCAAAGAAAGAGACAAACAGAGCAGTCAGGAGAGAGTCTGAGCATAAGGAGTAAGAGTGGGTGGAAATGGGATGAAGGAAGAAACAGGGGTAGGGGTGGTGCCAGGAAGATGAGACTGGTGAGCTTGAACATGATGCAGAAAAAGAGACCGTGAAAAGACTTGGAGGAAGGGCGGTGGTCTTGGTTTACCTCTGAATTTACTTGAATTTGTAGATTTAAATCAGAGCACTGAAATTATAGAGTTATTGATATTATGTTTTAATGCACAGATATTAAACTGGTGGCATGGCTGAGCCATAAAGATGCATCCAAACACACATCCCAGTTTCCAGGCAGCCTAAGAGGACTGCCTAAGGCTCTCTTTTGAGCCCATCAACATGGCTTTACTCTGCCAGAGGATTCACTGTTGGAGAATATGACACATTTCCTCCCTTGCTTTCAGGGCAGAGCCATTTCCCCAAGAACTTGGAAGAATTCCCAGCTCCTACCACCCAGGATATTAATTAGAAATGGGTCCAAGCCACAAAGTCTGATTCCAAAGTCCAAGAGAGTTTGGATCCAGGGTTTTAATTTAGGCTCATCTCTGTTGTTCCTTTCTTTTTCCCCCCTTCCAAATTTCTATGTATTAGGTAGAAACACAAAGTGCCAGGAACGAAAGTGAGTTTTTTATCTATCAACTAGTTTTACGTACAGATTTGATTAAAACCAAACCAAACCAATGAGGGAAAAGAAAACAACCAGGGAGTGAGAAGCAGCTCAAGTAACGGTATGTGACTAGGGTAAGCCATCTGGTGGAAAACAGCTTCTTTTACTCCTGGGAACTCTTTCAAGCTATTGCACTTTTCTCCTGGCTGCATACCAAAGTAATTAGCATCTCATGCAACATATAGTAAGGAGGATTTTGGACATATTGCTGGGCTTGAGAGGTTTTTTCTGTAATGAGAACAGAGAGTCACATTTTGCTATGAAGAACACAGCCCACAAGAAAGCCAAAATGGCAGAAAATTGGGCTTTAAGAGAAATTCTATATTCTTAACTATTGCTGAGTTTTTGTACTTGGCCTAGACCCCAACCGTGCAATGTGCACATACAAATAGACTCCTATGTATGTACTGAGCCCCACTGGCACCAGTGAGGCTCTTCCTATGCCAGGCACTTTGTAAGGTAGGTGCCCCAGGCTGTCAAAAAAAATCCCAAATGCTCACAATTTCCACTCCCCTCCCCAACAAACAAATAACTGCCAAAAGCTGCAGGAAGATTCAACATGCTCCCAAGGGGTTTTATTGTAGCACCTGTAAAATCAAACCAACTTAATTTAACATAAACCACATCCCAGACCAAACTCAACCTTCCCTGAGAATCCCACACTCCAGTTACTCGTTAGTCTGGGGAGTGGGCGTATCACAGAAGGCAGCATTATAACATAAAGAAAAGGAGTACTTGTGACACCTTAGAGACTAACCAATTTATTTGAGCATAAGCTTTCGTGAGCTACAGCTCACTTCATCGGATGCATTCAGTGGAAAATACAGTGAGGAGATTTATATACACACAGAACATGAAACAATGGGTGTTACCATACATGCTGTAAGGAGAGTGATCACTTAAGATGAGCCAATACCAGCAGGAGAGTGGGGGGGGGGGAGAAAACCTTTTGTAGTGATAATCAAGGTGGGCCATTTCCAGCAGTTGACAAGAACGTCTGAGGAATAGTGGGAGGGGGGAAATGAACATGGGGAAATAGTTTTATGTTGTGTAATGACCCATCCACTCCCAGTCTTTATTCAAGCCGAAGTTAATTGTATCCAGTTTGCAAATTAATTCCAATTCAGCAGTCTCTCGTTGGAGTCTGTTTTTGAAGTTTTTTTGTTGAAGAATTGTCACTTTTAGGTCTCTAATCGAGTGCAAACTAACACGGCTGCTACTCTGAAACCTGTCATTATAACATAGACCTTCTTTCCCTTATCTCTTCTAGCACGGTGGTTCCCAGCCTTTAGGGGGTAGCCATGAGAATCTCTTATCATTTACATACCACTGTACAGTCTGGCCACACCAATGCAATTATGTTCACTTCCATGGTACTGAAGGGGTGTAACTGAGAAGACAGTTCACTTCTAGATCTTCAAAGCCCTGTAAAAGCATCAACTAAGCAAGCCTTCACAACAGCCCTATGTGAGATGGAAGTAAGATGTATTTCCCCTGTGGGAAGAAGGCTAAACTTTTCCAATGTGGGGTCCTAAATTGCCTGATTTTGACATGCTGAGCACCCACAGCTGCTGTTGACTTTGGGTGCTCAAGGCTTCAATATGGATTTAGGGGACTATCTTTAGGCCCCTGTGCTTGAAAATTTTGGCTTAGGTGACTCGTTCTAGGCCAGCGGTGAGTCGGTGACCAGGGCAGGGGCTTGAGGTACCTAGTCCCATGCACAATCCAATTGTATGTGCTGCCTCTCTGCTGAATCCACTGGCCAGATCCCAAACCGGCAGAAATTGGCATTGCTCCTCTGAATTAAATGGGGCAGATTCCAAGCTGGTGTACATTGGCACAGTGATACTGAAGTCAATGGGGCTGTTCCTCAGCATAGCTCCACTGAAATCAGTTGATGATCCAGCCCAATTTGTAAGAGGTACCAGCCAGTGCCCACCATTCAGTTCCTATCAGTGGCGTATGAGCTATTCCAAACCTCAGCCTGGGATCGGTTTGTGCTCTGCTGTGAATTAGATCGTTCACTGAATGGGAGGCATGCAGTGGTGGGGCACAAGGGCCCAGGCCAAGACTCACCATTTTGGTAGGGGAGAGAAACTGCCTAGTGCAGGGGTGGCCAACCTCAGCCTGAGAAGGAGCCAGAATTTACCAATGTACGTTGCCAAAGAGCCACAGTAATACATCAGCATCCCCCGACCAGCTCCTGCACCCATGCTCCCAGCACCTCCCGCCCAGTGGCAGCCTCACTGATCAGCGCCTCCCCCTCGCTCCCCGCATCTCCCAATCAGCTGTTTTGTGGTGTGCAGGAGGCTCTGGGGGGAAAGGGGGAGGAGCAAGGGCACTACAGGCTCAGAGGAGGGGATGGGAAGGGGTGAAGTGGGGGCAGGGCCTGTGGCAGAGCCAGGGGTGGAGCAGTGAGCACCCCCCAGCACGTTGGAAAGTTGGCGCCTGTAGCTCCAGCCCCGGAGTCGGTGCCTATACAAGGAGCCGCATATTAACTTCTGAAGAGCTGCACATGGCTCCGGAGCCACAGGTTGGCCACCCCTGGCCTAGTGAATCAACCACAAAAGCCTGCAGTTCCAGTTTCTAAACAGCAGGAAATCTCTGCTCTGGCACACATCCCTGGGTGACATCAGGTAGGCGTATAATGCTTACACTGCATCAGAAATAATACTCCTGCAATCTGATAGAACAAACAGGCCTTTTGAAACCAAACCCCCTTTTTAAGTGGTGGTGGTGGAAAAATTAAATTCCTGTTTTGTTCATGTCACTGGAGTCCCAGTGCTGCAGGGGATAAATTTACTCACGCCCCAGCAGAGGCGGAATGTATCCCCTTTTATGTTTACATTAAGTATCCACATGCTGGGCTGTACGCTTGACCCGTTTTTCAGGACAACCCCATATAAAACGTACAGCACGTATTTGCAGTGCTGAGCCTGAGAACACCGAGCTGCTGTCTTCACTTCCAAAGCCTGCCAGTTATCCTTCAAAACCACCTCCCCTTTGTGAAGAGACAGCCTGCCCTGTTCTCAGGTTCATTTCTACTTGGCAGCTATTGAGACAGCATGGCCGCCCCGCTCTTTGCTTTGACCTTTCCCCTACTTTCAAGCTGTAGACTCTGAACGTTTGCTTTGGTAGCATTTACAGGAGTCACATGTCACATCTGTTGTAACTCATGTCTCTGCATCTGGAAAGCTTAGCTTGGAGTGCCTGAGCTATCCAACAGATCTGCCACCCAGGATAGTTTTCCTATTTCAGCCTGCAGAGTAATTCACTCCATATTTCCTGTAACTATGTTATGAAAATAGTAGGATCATTCTTGAATATGCTGCTCATTGGTTTTGGGACATAACTTGAAGTCACCAAGCAAAATGCAAAGTCGAGCCAAGGTAATAAATATCGCACTGGTTGCTGTTCAGAATAATGGATTACAGCAGCGGTTCTCAAACCCTAGCAACCCAAGGACCCCCATTTTGATTTAAAAGTTTTTGTGGACCCCCCAAGCCGGCTTCTAATTTTCCTCGGGGGTACTCAACCTCCACTCAGCCCCAGGCACTGTCCTGCCCCCATCCACCCCTTCTGCCACGGCCCCACCTCTTCCCACCTTGATTAATTTCTGTGCTGTATTTTCAGAAATGATGTGAAACCCCACATACACCTCATGTTGGAGCTGGAGGCACCATGCAAAAAATCCACATTTGATGGCATCAGGTTGTGTGGTCAGTGAATGGATGATGTCATGAACAATCCCATCCTGATGCCCAGCACCTTGCAAGTGTGTGACGTAATGGAGCTAACAGTGCTGCACTAAGGGGAAGCCATGTTTCCCGAACATGTTTCCCCACAACTTTTACTATGCCCCCTGGTTACAAGGAGAAGGGGAGGATCCTGGAGAAAATGTTAACCACTTCAAGGTGGAGGAAAAAGCAAAGGGCATAGAAAATCCAACAGTGCAAACTAGGTGTGAGGCGTATCACTACCATGTTGAGTCCTGCCCGTGATCCCCAGGGGAGCTCCACCCAGCTCGTTATGTTTTATTATTTCTTCTGGACTATTTTGCAAGCTGTTTTGGGCTGTCAAATAGTAGCCCATCTTGTGACTCGGAGGCCACATACCGCTTTTGCTCTGTGCAGTCTTCATGGATGTGAAGGCCAGAAGGGGCCATTCTTATTATGGGGGCCGACCAACTGCATAAAGCCATAGATTTCGCTCAGTGGTTCCTACATCTTGTTCTCACTGAGATCAGTAGAAAGACATTGTGTGGCCTGCAGCAGGGATTCTCAAACTATATTCCACAGAGCACTCCCATGTGGTACGCAGAGTTGTCTCTGTCACAGTTCTTATTCTTCAAAGTGACTCTTTGTACTAGCTGTAGCCTAGTCCAAAGCTCTGAGAGCCTGCTTCCGATAATGTCACTCACATTCAGAAACCCTTTACTCCACAAGTGATCTCATTGATAAGGGGACATGTCATAAATATAAAGGGAAGGGTGAACACCTTTAAAATCCCTCCTGGCCAGAGGAAAAACCCTTTCACCTGTAAAGGGTTAAGAAGCTAGGATAACCTCGCTGGCACCTGACCAAAATGACCAATGAGGAGACAAGATACTTTCAAAAGCTGAAGGGGGGGAGAAACAAAGGCTCTCTCTGTCTGTGTGATGCATTTGCCGGGAACAGAACAGGAATGGAGTCTTAGAACTTAGTAAGTAATCTAGCTAGATATGCGTTAGATTCTGTTTTGTTTAAATGGTTGATAAAATAGCTGTGCTGAATGGAATGGATATTCCTGTTTTTGTGTCTTTTTGTAACTTAAGGTTTTGCCTAGAGGGATTCTCTATGTTTTGAATCTAATTACCCTGTAAGGTATTTACCAGATTTTACAGAGGTGATTCTTTTACTTTTTCTTCTATTAAAATTCTTCTTTTAAGAACCTGATTGCTTTTTCATTGTTCTTAAGATCCAAGGGTTTGGGTCTGTGTTCACCTATGCAAACAGGTGAGGATTTTTATCAAACCTTCCCCAGGAAAGGGGGTGTATGGTTTGGGAGGATTTTTGGGGGGAAAGACGTTTCCAAGCGGACTCTTTCCCGGTTATATATCTGTTAGACGCTTGGTGGTGGGAGCAATAAAGTCCAAGGGAAAAAGGAAAATAGTTTGTACCTTGGGGAAGTTTTAACCTAAGCTGGTAAAAATAAGCTTAGGAGGTTTTCATGCAGGTCCCCACACCTGTACCCTAGAGTTCAGAGTGGGGAAGGAACCTTGACAGGACACTAGTAAAGTAAGGAACTTATGAGTAAGAATATCAAAATCTGACCATCCTGCTTGGTTGCTGCCCATCTCATTTGGCTATATGTTAAGTGGTTTGATGTAAATTCAACCATGATTACATTTCTCACTTTAAAATTGGGTGCGGGTAGGACCCACAAACACCCAAAAAGATAGAATTCCCTCCACCCTGAGGCATTAGGGTGGAGGGAACTACATGCAACAAAGGGAGACACAGTGCTTACCTATGTCAAGTCCTGTACCCGGGGAGAGGAAATGAACTGCACAGCTATGAAGTGAGGTGGATGTAACCCATCGTATTAAACTGTATTGTTTGTTTTTTTTTTAAAATGTGTCCTTTTGTAATATTGTCCTTGTATCATGTTTTCATGTAACCAACAGTTGCCAGGGTGCTGGTGTGGAATCAGAAGCTGGGAAATCTGTCAGAATCTCTGTCTATCATGAGTTAGTGCATATTAAAAATAGCGTTGTACAGGAAGGTAGTGCAAAAGCACCACTTATGGTTTTACGGTATGTACTGACCCCCTCTACAAATGATCCAGGCCCAGTGCTTTCAGGCAATAAGAAGAATTTTGCCATCTCTTCACTAAGGTTTCTGAGAACCAAGCTAAAGTGGATCTTTTGGTTCGTATAAAGAAATTGTTACCCCTTTTGACCCATGTAGTTAGCAAAAATTTGGGGTCTTGTGGGTTATATCTTTTAAGAGGAGAAAAATGATAATGGAGTTAAGGTATGTTTTTATGTAAATTCTATGTAAATAAACAGGATTGCATCAAAGTCTTGTTCACCTGAACACAGTAGGACTCAAACAAGAGACAGTTTCTTTGCTCACAGTTCCATGTCTCTTTCCAGTCAGCACTCTTCCCAAAAGCTCTCTCTCGTAGCTTTCTCGCAGTCACATTACAAGTGCTTCTCTGGCTGTGTGTCAGGCTTCCTTGCTGCCTCCTGTGTGTGCTTCTGTGGTGTTTCTGCTCTCTCTCGCTCTCCCTGTCACACACCCCCGCAATCAAATCAAATCCCCTGCATCTATGTTTTTTATCAGATGCCTGGGAAATGCCATTACCCAGGCTTGCTTGTGCTCTAGTCATTAGGTGGTGGTTTTCCATTGTGTTAGCTTTCCCTAAACAAAGGGGCACTTAATTATTCCCTCATTTTAGGCACCTTCCATTCAGGCTATCATTCCCAACAGCTTCAATGAGGCAGTGTGATTTCCCCCACCTTCCTCCCCAGCATTACAATCTCAACCCCCGTGTTTTGAACAAGCCAGGTGAAACCTCTGTTAGTGGGTGGGGGGAGAGGTGAAATATGGCCACAGCAAGCTTGCACTGCACTACTGTGATGTAGTAGATGTGAAGTTTGAATTGGGATAAATCAGCATGTTTTTGAGCACATCTGGATTTTGCCCCACAAGCAGTCCTAAGAAAAATCTGACAGAGTTGTTTATTGGAGATGTAACAATGAAGTAAATGTGCCCAGGGGGCAGGTTGTACAGGCAGGAGTAGTCTCAATGCTATCCAAAGGGACTCCAAAATTAATGCAGCCGTGCACCAGAAGTGGTAAATATTCACAGAGTTTATTATTTTTAAACTGTAACACATCAGTCTTAGCAAGCAGGTTTGGTTGTCACTAAAACAAGGAACTGAAAATTAGTTAATGCTCATAGAATGTTAAGGGCCAAAATTCACCCGGTCAATGAACAGTTTGTGGTATTGTCTGTGTGGAAGGGACCAGATCACCTTATAATCACCACTGTCTTGTGCACTGCAAGGGTGACTTAAGAAACACAAGCTCAAATGGACTCAAGGCCTTTTTAATAAACACTAAGCATAATTCTGCTTTAGAGTCACATGGTAGATCTTAGTGTCAACAGTGTGCTCTCCCTACAGTTGTAGATCTTACAGTCGTGTTCTCATCTCAATGGAAGGGAGATCTCCATGAAGGAGGAGGACACATGTTGGAGTTGACGTTTACCATGGGGTTCCAAGGACAGAGTTTTTCTCAGACTTTCTGTCCTGTCCCCGCTGTCCTCAGCATAGGCTCTTTGCTCTGGCATTCTCCAAAGGGACTTCCCTGGCATAGTGCCTCCTTGGGGGTTTTCAGCTCCCTTCATGCTTGCCATTGTCCCTTTCAGCTGCAGTGGAAGATGATTATTTTTGGTGTGGCTCCTTCTTAGCTTTAAATTTCTGCTACAAGAAAGCTGAGATGGAGGGGGAAACATTCCTAGGGCTGGGGGAGAAATGGAAGAGCAAAGTGATGTTAATTTCTCTACCCCCAAAGAACGAGGAGAGCAGAAGAGAGAGAATAATGGGAAGCTTGAAGGCTAGAGAAAGTGGAGCAGGGGAAAGCAAGACAACTCGGATTTTGTAGGGAGAAAAAGGGACACAGGACAGAGGCTGGGGCATTCACGGTGTGACGCATGGCTAGAAAGTGTTAAACATCCTGCAAAATAAATGGCTCAAATTCAACCCTTAAATACCTGTGGGGAGATAATGTTTGTGTTTTTGCATATTTACACGTGTATATGGGTAATGGTAAATGATATAATCAACCGTCCCTGTCTATGCTGTATTCTGATAATTCAGAGATCAAAATAACATCCTAGCATTTAAATGAATTGTAAACACGGGCTATCTTTGTATTCATCTCTCTTTGAAATGTATAGCAAATCATCTGTGAATGGTTTCAGAGTAACAGCTGTGTTAGTCTGTCTTTGCAAAAAGAAAAGGAGTACTTGTGGCACCTTAGAGACTAACCAATTTATTTGAGCATGAGCTTTCGTGAGCTAAGCTCACTTCAGTTGTAGCTCACGAAAGCTCATGCTCAAATAAATTGGTTAGTCTCTAAGGTGCCACAAGTACTCCTTTTCTTTTTGCATCTGTGAATGGTGGAGGAACAAGCCAATTGCCTTATGTTAATTCATATAGCTAAGTATGGGTGATGGACCTCCTTCAAAGTCATCCTAATTACCTTTAGTTCCCAGAGGAATTCCAGCTTGTCAAAGAGGACCTGAACTTGTATAAAAGATCCTTCAGTCCTGATCCTTTTCATCTTAGATCTGCTTAAGGTTTCATGCATGTGAAGCCTAAGCCATAAGGACTGAGATCCCAGTTCTAATTGGATTGCCCTGAAACATAAACATTGGACTATAACCTGTGGACTATTTCTGAAAGAACTCTTTGCTACTACAAAGGTCACCATCTCTGCTATGAATCTGAATCTTAAGAATTTGCACTCATGTCTGTATGTACATTGATCTTTTAACCATACTTTCTCTTTTGTTTTTTAATAAAATTTAGTTTAGTTAATAAGAATTGGCTATAGCATGTATTTGGGTAAGATCTGGAATATTCAATAACCTGGGAGGTAATGTGTCCGATCCTTTGAGACTGGTAGAACCTTTTATTTTATATGATGAAATAAGATTTTCAGAAATCATCATATTTGACATGGGCACTGTTGTCAGATGCCACGGGTGTGGTGCTCTGCTCTTGCTCTATGTTGATATAAGTCGGCTGTGTGCGTGCGTGTGTCCCCTCTCTGTGCTGCCCCGGCCTTGCAGATTGCTGGCACAGCAGACCCCTAGAGAACCCCCAATGACCCCAGACTCCAGTAAGGTACGAAGGCACGTCGGCCTGGTTTATTGTTGAAGAGAAACACAATCTCTAGCTCCCCGGATTATATATCTACGGTTTGTTGCTAGTCCCTATGTGCTCCCTGACAATGGATACAGCTCAGTCAGTGGCAGGACTTTCCACTGCCCCCTAGGCTGGACAGAGACACCGCCCTAGGGATGTATTCTTATACACAGGTACAAACAAGTTACATAACACTCCTGACATCTTGAGGTGCAACCCCTTTACGTAACAATGCACCACCCTTCTATGCAGTAAGGTGCCGCCTCTCACATTGTACATGTTGGTTCGAACAAAACATCTCTATCCATCATACTAGCCTTTTACCCCTGTCCTTGTTATCTATGTGGACGGTATAAGAATGTTCTTATTTGTGTATGGCTCTGTGATATCCAATACACTTTAGATATATGTTTGTGCAACAGCATATATTTATGCAACATCAGCCCTTTCCTTGCCAGCTTCTGTGAGCAGGGCCTGCCTCTGGCTCTCAGCTTAACTTTGCTTTATGTTAGCAAAGTCTTGACCATTACTTTAACTCAGGCCTTAGGTCTCATACCAGGCCTCTGATACCAAGGGTTTATGTTTCAGGGCCTCATCTTACTACAGGTACCTGGATGGAGTCCTGAGGCTGGATCACTTTAAGGGAACTGTGTTGTTTGGACTTCTGAGTAATCAGTAAGGTAATAAAGAAGCTGTTTTATGCTGGCTTGGTAAATCTAAGTTTTGGAATAGCGACCAGCTTTTTGGGGATGGCTCCATTCTTTGCAGTTCACCCTAATTGAGTGACCACAGCTGGCCCTCACTGGGACCTGGGTCACACATGGACAGGAGGAGAAGGGGGAAGGAGTCATTAGTGAGGTGGCAGGGGCAGACAACAGGATCAGAATACCAGTGAGGTAGTAGGTAGCCAAGCATCACCCAACAGGATGCGAGAGATGGAAAGAGGGACACAAGGCTTAAAGAGGTCTGGGTGTCCTAGAACTGACCCAAAAGAACAAGAAGGGCAATTTTCCATTGTGGTTCTTGGAACAGGTTGAGCAACCTCCTTGTTCAGCCAAGAAGAGCCCCTTTCTAAGGAGGGGGGCCTCCCTGAGTGCGCTTACTACCATTGTCTGAGGTTGTTTAATGCTGTGGGAAAAACTGGGAAGTGGGGAGAATGCTGTGTGTTTTTACCTGTGCACAGAGTCTGGGTGCTGACCCCACCATGCAGTGATCCACAGGTATTCTGTGTAATGTGAGAGAGCAGGACTTGGCATTTGGAACAAACTAAACAGGGTGTCAAAACAAATGGCCTGGGTAAGTTTCCTTGCAATAACTCATGTGGGAAGGATGAATTGCCCAGCTATTTGAGTACATATGAACCTTGATCAAGAAACAGGCCAACAACAACTAAACAAAAAGCAGATAAGAGCCTGGGATCAAACACACCCACGTTTTAGAGAGCCATGAGCTCAGTGACAGCCAAACAGACCAAACAAGATGAGGGACCAAATTCAGCCCTCCAATAAGCAACTGTCCTCGGCAGAGTTGCACCCTTTACACCAAGGATGATTTTGGCCCTGTGGTGTTTGAATTGGCATCCCACAACAGTCACTAAAATTGAATCACAGAGAAAGTAACCTGGAGCCTGTTGCAGAAGCAGCAAGGTATATCCTTAGCATCTATTTAAATCCTTGCCTGTGTACAACTGGCAGGAGCAACCTTACCCCATCAGGGTGACTCAACATTGAGCTGGAGAGCCCCTGCCCCTCCCCGCAGGAGCTGGCGTGGGTTAGCCTACAGCGCCATCCACATTCTCTCTGATAACACAATTGCCAATTAGTAACAATGGCTTTGGTGGTGGCTTTTGGGAAGTGGCTGATTCCCTGAGAACTGAGCTCTCCAAATTCATTTCACAGCTGCCACCAAACAGTTACCAGAGGATTACTCTTTACAACCACTGCTGATCTAGGTGGGGGCTCTGAGCCACCATGCAAGGTATATCAATGCTCTGAGCCATTCTGTCTCTATGACAACACTTTTATTGATGACGTGCTATCAGCCTGGGTTGTGACCCGTACATCCATTCTCCCCTGGCGCACACCTAAATGTCTCATTAGCTATTCCTACTTTAAGTTGTGCTGGCTCAGTGGAGAATGGAAGTTCTGTTCAAAGGGAGAACATACATTGAGGGAGGGTAACGGCTGCAACTTGGATTGTGTGAAAAGGGGAGGTGACCTGATCCATGATTTCTCACAGACTCCCTTTGTTTGTGTTGATTTCAGTTGGGGAAGAGAAGTAGATAGGGAAGGAATTTGTTTTTGTTGTAGCGTAAATTTACTTCATGAAAGCGGTTGAGAGTCACTGATTTAATCCTGGGCTCCTTAAAATAAATCTGACGCCCTCCTGTTGAAGGAAGGGATGGGATGGGATGGGATGGCTGTCGACAGTATCTCATGGCCAACAATGGAGCCTACCCCCACCAGCCATTTCCATGGACATATGATTGTTTCCATATACTTCTATTAGTATTTTACTTATTAATTGTATTCTATTAACACCCAGAGGTTTGGGACCTCGTTGCGCTAGGTGCTGTACCAACATACAGGAGGACACAGTCTGTGCCCTAAAATAGCTTTCAATCTACTGTGAGATAATATGCAACAAATGCTAGGAGTGTAGAACCAATACAACTCAATTTGATAAAATGTCTTTGTGTAGACACAATCTTACCCTAGGGTTTGAAATAGTGCTAGTGCCTTTCAAGCAAGAACCATTTTTCAATATGGCTTTGACTAATATGGTTTGAACTCTAGTGCTGAAGTCCCATCTACACTGTAGCAGCTACCTTACTGAACAACCCAGCTCAAACTCATTTTAGCCCTGTTTCTCAAACTGCAACCAAGTCCTCACCAGGCAGCTGTAAAATGGGAGTTGGGAATGCATTTCCTGTCAGCCAGCCTACAAGAGACCATGCAAGTGGCATCATATCAATCCTAGAGCATTTGCCACACATCAGAATGGAAGGGGCAGAGCGTTACGCTTTTAGTCTCTCTTCAGGTAGGAGTTCAGAGCAGAGCACTAATTCCAGTACACTGTGAGCTAGGGATATTCTTAGATTTTCCTGAGCATGTATTGGGCTCCATGAGTGACAACAAGTTGTCCAAACTACTGGGTTCAATGTTGATATAAAAGACAGTGGTAGACTTAGGGGTAGTGGGGCAGCAGGAACATTTAAAACTCAACCTTCACTGCCTCAGCAGTCTTCAGTAATCCTGGTATCTTCTTATGTTTCAGATAAAAGCTTCTGTGTTACCAGAATCCCTTCAGATGTAAAGTTTTAATGGACAACCCTTGTACCAGGCCTCAGCTGCAGCGACACAGGACACAATTCTGACCCTACCTAAAGGAGAACTGCATAAAGTGTACATCAAAAATTGGTAGTAAGCAGTGAAGGACAAATTGGGATGAATCAGCGTCTTTGTATGTAGCCTGAAACGTGCCCGAGCAAGTCCTGAGATAGCCAAAAAGAGAGAGGAAATCTGTCAGTGTTGTTTGTTTAAGATTTAATACAGCATATGGGGTAAAATATGCTCAGGTTTTAGCTAGGATAAACAAAAGTAATATCAGTACCATCCAGAGAAACTGAAAAAGATGAAGACAGCTGCATTTGAGCAGGACAGTAAATATTCTTTTTTATTCTTGTTAAACTTTAAGATGTTTGTATTGGCATCCATGTTCCATTGTCACTAAATCAGGAGATAAGAGAAGGAGTAACTGTGGGGAAAGTAGCAGGAGCAGACAAGTGATCATTATTATTAGTATGATTGTTATTATTATTATTATTTTATTATTGTATTCAGTGTGGTTGTAGCCATGTCAGTCCCAAGATATTAAAGAGACAAGGTGATAACGGAAGAAGAACTCTGTGTAGCTCGAAAACTCGTCTTTCAACAACAGAAGTTGGTCAAATAGAAGATACTACCTCACCCACCTTGTCTCATTATTAATTATTATTATTTTATTTATTATTTATTTGTATTGTGGCAGCACCTGGAATGCCAACCAAAGATCATAACCCCATTGTGCTAGGGACCATATAAACACATAATATGCAACAAATGAAAAATAACAACATAATATTTGTATGATGTCCACATCCATATGAAAATGTAATGTTAGTTTCTTGGATGACGCAAGGAATTGATACTGGATTTCAGGGTTTTTCACTCCGAGATCACTGGTTTGAATACAACCCAAGAAGCTAGTTGCCATAATTGTGGCTGTTAGGTGGGCTACGTGAAATTAATTGGTGGCTTCAGATCAAGTCCTAGAAAACAAGTCCGCATTTAAAAACACCCACCCGATGACTTTTGGCATCACAACCGCTTTGGCAGTGGAACCTGAAAGGCCAAGAACTGAATTTGTTTGGAGAATGAAATACCATCTGGTCAGAATGAGGTTGAGACCTATTGTTAGGACAGCAGGTGGAAGATTACATTGTTACTTCTCTGGTTCAGCCAACAGTAACTTCAGCCTTCAGAAGTCTCATTACTGTGCTTTTCATACGCACTAGTATTCACTTACAACATATATCTACATACAAGTTTAATTTTTATGTGTGGGGGAAACTTTTCAAGAGAAATTCATTTTGGGCTGAGAAACTGAATAATAAATTCTGCCTTGAGAGAAACAATTTAACAGATGGTTGCACTAATGAATGGATTTCTGTTTATATTGTCAACATTAAGGACAATTAAAGTGTAATGAGCGAGGCAAACAGGTAAAACAAGACAGAAGTACTTTATATTCAGGTGTTGCTTTTTAGAGACAACCATCTTCGAACATTTGGAGGTTATGGGTTAATTGTGGCTAACTGGCCTATTCTAACAGTGGTCCCATCTATAGATTCTTACCTTGATGAATCAATATTTTTAGAGTTTTCTGATCCTTCTTTGAGCAATGAGATGCACATGCTTTCTGATCAAGAAATCAAAGTCTATAGTTTGTTTGTTTGTTTGTTCAAATAGCTTCCAGGAGGTGTGCTCAAGAATTTTGGTTGTGTCTCTATGACAGCATGCAACAGGCGGCTGATGCAGGTGACAGTAGACGGTTGTGTGAGGGCATTAGAACAGCCATTGGGCTGATAAAGAACAAAACAGCTCCACTGAAAGATCTGGATGGCAATATTATAACTGATAAAGGGAAGCAACTGGAGAGGTGGATTGAGCACTATGGAATGATATACTCAAGGGAGCCTGTAGTAGACTGAGTGTTAGACAAATTGCCTGGGTTTGAAGTTATGACTTCGCTGGACGCCAAACCTACACTGGAGGAACTTGAACAAAGCATCAAAAAGATTCCCAACAACAAAGCTTTAGGACTGACTGTTTACCTGCTGAAATCTACAAATGTGCAAAGACTGCATGAAGTGTTGCTACTCTGTTGGAAGGAAAAAACTGTTCTGCAAGATTTTAAGGATGCTTGTTTCATCCTACTCTATTAAAACAAAGGAGACAGAAATTATTGTAATAACCACAGAGGTATATCTCTTCTTCACATAGTGGGAAAAATCTTTAGCTAGACTTCAAACTTTAGCTGAGAGAATATATCCCAAGAGTCAGTGTGGCTTCTGCTCGGGAAAGTCCACCATAGACATGGTCTTCTCTGTAAGACAATTGCAGGAAAAGTGCAGAGAGAAGCGTATTCCACTGTAGATGGCTTTTATAGATTTAACAAAAGCCTTTGACGTGGTTCGTCAGTCAGGGCTTTACATTGTTCTGAAGAGGCTTGTGAAATGCTTACACGATAGCATGAAGGCAACTGTAATGTATGAAAACCAAGAGTCTGACTCATTTAACATCAAGAATGGAGTGAAGCAGGGTTGTGGACTGTCTTCTACATTGTTTAATATTTATTTCTCATTCCTGCTTCAATATGCGTTCTGTGATGTTCGAAATGGTGTCTATTTTAGCACTAGACATGCTGGAGTTTTGCTTAACATTGGAAGGTTCAGAGCTAAGACGAAGGTGAAGGAGATCATCATGAGGGACCTCTTGTTTGCAGATGATGTAGCCCTTGTGGCTCTTAGTGTTGATGCCCTACAACATCTTATTACCAAGTTCTCTGATTCATGCAAAATATTTGGGCTAGCAATATGCTTGAAGAAGTCTATTATCATGCACCAAGACTCTTCAGAACCAGTTCCAGATATCACCTTATATGGTATTCATCTAGATGTTGTCGACTAATTTTGCTACCTTAGCTCTACTGTTACCAGCGATATAGCTCTTGATGCTGAGCTTACTAGTAGAATTGGCAAAGCAACCAGGAACTTTGGTCTTTTGCAAGACAGAGCCTGGAACAATAACAAATTGTCAACTAAAGTGAAAATCCATATTTATGAGAAGTGTTTTATCCACTCTTCTATATGGCTCAGAAACATGGATGACTTATGCCAAACATACCAAAAGACTAAATACTTTTCATATCAGATGCTTGCATAAAATTCTTTGAATAATATGGCAAGACAGGGTGACAAATGTGGAAGTGTTAAATTGTGCTGGTATGTCATTCATGGGAACGTTCATGGGAAGAAAAGGTGGCTTGAACATGTCAATCGAATGCTGGACTACAGGATCCCAAAAAGTGTGCTGTACTCTGAAGCTCGTGAAGGGTCTAGAAAGAGAGGCAGACTGCTGTGCAGATTTCAGGATGTTTGCAAAGATGATTTAGCATCCTTTGGAATCTCTGTGGGTGATTGGGAAAGGAGTGCAGAATACTCCTCCAACCAGAGGAGCAGACTTGTAGATGGACTGAGGCATTGTATGGTGGACTAGATCAAGCTTTGTTATGTCCGGCGTCAGAGGAGGAAAGAATCTGCTGTTTGGATTCAGAGTGTGACAGATTACCTCCCCGCCCCCCCCCCCCACGGGTGCCACCTGACGTACTGAGGTACCAGTGAGCCTGCCTGTTCCACCAGCCTGGGCTCCCTTACACTGTCTTGCTGAGCCAGGCCCTCAAGCCTCCTGTAGCATACACACAGGTAGGGACACACCCAGCTGCAGAAAGACACAGACACTGAAATCAGCACCACATGGGAAGGCTTCAGCTAGAGAGTTGCCCAGCACCCAAGTGCACACCTGTCTGGAGTGTAAACCCCAAATTGTGTCATCTTGCGCTGCACAGAGAACTATACAGCGTAAGCTCATGAAATCCGCCCTCTCTCTCAATGTGGAGGAAGATATGCACAGCTTTATGCCTCCCAGTTATGAATTCCACAAACTGGTTTTAGAGAAAACAAAAACAAGTTTATTAATTACAAAAGATAGATTTTAAGTGATAGGAAACAGATCAAAGCAGATTATCTTAGTAAATAAACAAAAACCGCAAACTGAGCTTAACACACTAGAGAGGTAAGATATAAATTAGCAATTCACACCTTGAGTGATAAACAGGCTGGCAGACTCTTAAGGCACAAGCTGCCTTGGCTTTCCCAGGTTTTCATACACAGGCTAAAGATCCTTCTACCCTGGGACCATCACTTCCCACAGTTCAGTCCTTGCCCCTCAGGTGTTTCCAGGTGTGTTTTTGCAGGGAAAGAGAGGTATCCTCATGATGTCATTGTCCCCCTTTTAAATCTTCTTCCCACTTGCTGGAAAGCTCTTTTTCTGTGACCTGGGTCAAACAATTCCCATTGTGTAGTGCTATCTCTGAGTATTGTATACAGTATACTATTGTATACAGTTCCTGGGGTAATCCTTGTGCTTGTGTGCATTTCCTCATTAAGCAATTAACATTGTTTGGCCTTTTTACTGTTGTACCTGAAAGGCTGCTTGTGGGTGTTTTCAACCTCACAACATGTTTCAGTAACACATACATAACCAAACTTCATCACTTCACATATGATGATAACACACAGTCCAACGAGATATTAATGTCTAGCAGATCAAGACTTTTAGAAAGGGGGGAGGGATAGCTCAGTGGTTTGAGTATTGGCCTGCTAAACCCAGGATTGTGAGTTCAATCCTTAGGGGGGCCATTTAGGGATCTGGGACAAAAATTGGGGATTGGTCCTGCTTTGAGCAGGGGGTTGGACTAGATGACCTCCTTAGTCCCTTCCAACCCTGATATTCTATGATTCTATGATACCTCACACAACATACTTTCTACAAAACATATCCTAATTACATGACAGTGGTGAATATTGGGGTGCCAGGGTGTCACATGGAGCATTGCTAGTTTGTGGGTGTGCCCTACCTGCAGGACGGGACTGTCACTCACGGATCAGACTCAGCAGCCATCAAAGACTCATTGGCGCATGTAAAGAGCAATGATGCCATTGGATATTCCTACTTCTCAGAAAGGTTTTGAATTACATCACTCTTTCTTTTCCAGGTGTTAGAAGAAACATGTCTGCGGGGACAAAAGAAAAAAAATGGTGGCACAGGTTTATTTTGCTAGAATCCAGTGGTCAAAATAAACTGGAGCAGGGGTATACAGGTGACTTTTAAAAACATTTTTCTCTTTGAATTTTTATGAGACTTGGACATATATTTCACAATGACACATCGGTTGTATTCTGATCACTTGGACACTGTGTCCAATTCATTTGTTCTTGCCATTTTGCCATTTTGCTGGTTTGTTGAATTCAATGCTTCCGCCCGACAGAGGCCATAGCGAAGGGAAAAGAGGGGCAATTTTTTTACTTTCTAATTTTAGGAGGGGTGGGATGAAAGGACAGCATTCTTGTCTTAGGGCATCAGAAAGGATTAATTCATCACTGTCCACCCCTACTCTCCTCCTAAGGAACTGACATACATATGTCTCACAAAGGTGGGGAGGTTAGTAGTCTGGAGGCCAGACTTGGGATTCAGAAACATCCACTATGTTATTTGATGTCCCCAAATAATAAATAAGGGCTCCCTTTCAGCTGGGCTCTGAAAGATGACATGACAATGAGGGTGGAGTGTACATTGTTTGAATTCCTTTTCCCTCTTATTTATTTTCAGCTGCTCCATTTCTCTCTTTCAGCACTTCTATGGCATTTCCCTCTCTGGGATGTTGCTGGGTAGAATAGTATATATAAACAGAGGAACATTTAAGGAACAGGGGAAGGCAAAGTGGTCCTTTGGGATCTATCTTTATTAACCCTCAGAGCTGTGCCCACACAGGGCCTTACCTTCAAGTTAGACCAGAACTCTGTGGCTTGTGCTCTGGTTTTAAATTCAGAGACTTCTCTGACGCTGGATATTCCCTGGAGAGCTGGGATGCTCCCCCAATCCCTTCCCAACTACTCCCATGATCTTCTCTGATATTTCTCATGGATTCTCTGAGCTGCTTCCTTAGCCTTCTCACCATGCCCAGCCCATTCTGCAGCCCTAACGCCTGCACCTCTCACTCTTTTCGACAACCAGCTTCCCTTTCTACTCTGATGCTGCCGTGTCCTAAAAGCCATCTTCGCTCCACCACTCACTTTCTTGCAGTTTCTATAAAAAGAAAAGGAGTACTTGTGGCATCTTAGAATCTAAATTTGTTAGTCTCTAAGGTGCCACAAGTACTCCTTTTCTTTTTGCGGATACAGACTGACATGGCTGCTACTCTGAAACTTGCAGTTTCTATGACTCCCTCCCTCTAGCAAGGGTGAAGTTTATTGGAAGGTTTCCAAAGAGATCTCAACCTTTGCTTTCTGAAAAGGATGTGTAATGGGGTCCAGTCACCACTGTGGCGTCTCCTTGTGACCATGTGTGGGGAGTAGCTCCATTCAAGTCTGATACCCCCTACTGGTGGTTGCTCACACCACGTTTCTCCTCAGACCTCCAGCCACGTCACTGTACAGTCCTCTCTTTCTGGGGTATCAAAGTCCCACTGGGTCAGCTGTCCACATGCAGTTCCAGACAGTCTTCTGCACCAAGGCCAGGTTCTATGCCACATCCCAAGCAACTGATAGGAGAACCCGGGCGCACCCACTACTCTGGGTTCCAGTCCAGGGACTTTGTCTAGGAACTGTGTTCTGCTTGCTCACAGACCCTGCTGCTATTTCCCTGGACTCCTTCCTATTCCCCTGCTCTATTCTCTGGCCCCCTTCTCTGGGTTTAACAACCCAAACTCTCTCTTCCCAGGGAGTAAACATAGATTACTCCTTTCTTTGTCTTCTTGCCAGACACCTCCCATCTCCCAGGAAGTGACTACAGACTTCCCCTCCAGGCCCCTTCTTTTGTCCTTCTTTTTTTCCCTGTCATTTTATGGTGTGGCAGCCTCTATGGTGCGCAGGTCCTAAGATTGATCCTTGGGGAACACCACGTTAGCCCTCTCCATTCTGAAAATTTACCATTTAATCCTACCCTTTATTCCCTGTCTTTTAACCAGTTCTCAATCCATGAAAGGATCTTCCCTCTTATCCCATGACAACTTCTGTAACTTCTGTTTAACATCATCTAGAGGTACTAGTGGAATGGAAAGAGTGCTCTCATGCCCATATGATGAGACTACACCATCTGTTTTTTCCCCCCAAATACAGAATGGAGACATTTATTGAACATATCTGCCTTTTCTGCACTATAGGGTTGAAAATGAGGCTCACAGTACCCAGACCATGCATGAACATTTGAGCAATGGGGCTTAGGGTATGTCTACACTATGAAATTAGGTCGAATTTATCGAAGTCGGTTTTTTAGAAATCGGTTTTATATATTCGAGTGTGTGTGTCCCCACAGAAAATGCTCTAAGTGCATTAAGTGCATTAACTCGGCGGAGTGCTTCCACAGTACCGAGGCAAGCGTCAACTTCCGGAGTGTTGCACTGTGGGTAGCTATCCCACAGTTCCCGCAGTCTCCGCTGCCCATTGGAATTCTGGGTTGAGATCCCAATGCCTGATGGGGCTAAAACATTGTCGCGGGTGGTTCTGGGTACATATCGTCAGGCCCCCGTTCCCTCCCTCCCCCCCCCCCCATGAAAGCAAGGGCAGACAATCATTTCGTGCCTTTTTTCCTCAGTTACCTGTGCAGACGCCATACCATGGCAAGCATGGAGCCCGCTCAGCTCACTTTGGCAATTAGGAGCACATTAACCACCACACGCATTATCCAGCAGTATATGCAGCACCAGAACATGGCAACGCGATACCGGGCGAGGAGGCGACGTCAGCGCGGTCCCGTGAGTGATCAGGACATGGACACAGATTTCTCTGAAAGCATGGGCCCTGACAATGCATGCATCATGGTGCTAATGGGGCAGGTTCATGCTGTGGAATGCCGATTCTGGGCTCGGGAAACAAGCACAGACTGGTGGGACCCCATAGTGTTGCAGGTCTGGGACGATTCCCAGTGGCTGCGAAACTTTTTGCATGCGTAGGGGCACTTTCATGGAACTTTGTGACTTGCTTTCCCCTGCCCTGAAGCGCATGAATACCAAGATGAGAGCAGCCCTCACAGTTGAGAAGTGAGTGGCGATAGCCCTGTGGAAGCTTGCAACGCCAGACAGCTACCGGTCAGTTGGGAATCAATTTGGAGTGGGCAAATCTACTGTGGGGGCTGCTGTGATGCAAGTAGCCCACACAATCAAAGATCTGCTGATATCAAGGGTAGTGACCCTGGGAAATGTGCAGGTCATAGTGGATGGCTTTGCTGCAATGGGATTCCCTAACTGTGGTGGGGCTATAGACGGAACCCATATCCCTATCTTGGCACCGGAGCACCAAGCCGCCGAGTACATAAACCGCAAGGGGTACTTTTCGATAGTGCTGCAAGCTCTGGTGGATCACAAGGGACGTTTCACCAACATCAACGTGGGATGGCCGGGAAAGGTCCATGATGCTCGCATCTTCAGGAACTCTGGTCTGTTTCAAAAGCTGCAGGAAGGGACTTTATTCCCAGACCAGAAAATAACTGTTGGGGATGTTGAAATGCCTATATGTATCCTTGGGGACCCAGCCTACCCCTTAATGCCATGGCTCATGAAGCCGTACATAGGCAGCCTGGACAGTAGTCAGGAGCTGTTCAACTACAGGCTGAGCAAGTGCAGAATGGTGGTAGAATGTGCATTTGGACGTTTAAAGGCGCGCTGGCGCAGTTTACTGACTCGCTTAGACCTCAGCGAAACCAATATTCCCACTGTTATTACTGCTTGCTGTGTGCTCCACAATATCTGTGAGAGTAAGGGGGAGACGTTTATGGCGGGGTGGGAGGTTGAGGCAAATCGCCTGGCTGCTGGTTACACGCAGCCAGACACCAGGGCGGTTAGAAGAGCACAGGAGGGCGCGGTACGCATCAGAGAAGCTTTGAAAACCAGTTTCATGACTGGCCAGGCTATGGTGTGAAAGTTCTGTTTGTTTCTCCTTGATGAACCCCCCCCCGCCCCTTGGTTCACTCTACTTCCCTGTAAGCTAACCACCCGCCCCTCCTCCCTTTAATCATTGCTTGCAGAGGCAATAAAGTCATTGCTGCTTCACAGTCATGCATTCGTTATTCATTCATCACACAAATAGGGAGATGACTACCAAGGTATCCCAGGAGGGGTGGTGGAGGAGGGAAGGAAAATGCCACACAGCACTTTAAGCACAGCACTTTAAAAGTTTACAACTTTAAAATTTATTGAATGACAGCCTTCTTTTTTTTTGGGCAATCCTCTGTGGTGGAGTGGCTGGTTGGCCGGAGGCCCCCCCACCGCGTTCTTGGGCGTCTGGGTGTGGAGACTATGGAACTTGGGGAGGAGGGCGGTTGGTTACAGAGGGGCAGCAGTGGCAGTCTGTGCTCCAGCTGCCTTTGCTGCAGCTCAACCATACACTGGAGCATACTGGTTTGGTCCTGCAGCAGCCTCAACATTGAATCCTGCCTCCTCTCATCACGCTGCCGCCACATTTGAGCTTCAGCCCTGTCTTCAGCCCGCCACTTACTCTCTTCAGCCCTCCACCTCTCCTCCTGGTCATTTTGTGCTTTCCTGCACTCTGACATTATTTGCCTCCACGCATTCGTCTGTGCTCTGTCAGTGTGGGAGGACAGCATGAGCTCGGAGAACATTTCATCGCGAGTGCGTTTTTTTTTCTTTCTAAGCTTCACTAGCCTCTGGGAAGGAGAAGATCCTGTGATCATTGAAACACATGCAGCTGGTGGAGAAAAAAAAAGGGACAGCGGTATTTAAAAAGACACATTTTATAAAACAGTCGCTACACTCTTTCAGGGTAAACCTTGCTGTTAACATTACATACATAGCACATGTGCTTTCGTTACAAGGTCGCATTTTGCCTCCTCCCACCGCGTGAACGGATTTTGGTTGAATGCCAGCAAACATACACTGCAATGCTTTGTTCTACAGTGATTCCCGAGTACGTGTTACTGGCCTGGAGTGGTAAAGTGTCCTACCATGAAGGACGAAATAAGGCTGCCCTCCCCAGAAACCTTTTGCAAAGGCTTTAGGACTACATCTAGGAGAACCGCAAATGCCAGGGCAAAGTAATCCTTTCACATGCTTGCTTTTAAACCATGTATAGCATTTTAAAAGGTACACTCACCAGAGGTCCCTTCTCCGCCTGCTGGGTCCAGGAGGCAGCCTTGGGTGGGTTCGGGGGGTACTGGCTCCAGGTCTAGGGTGAGAAACAGTTCCTGGCTGTCGGGAAAACTGGTTTCTCCGCTTGCTTGCTGTGAGCTATCTACAACCTCCTCCTCCTCATCATCTTCTTCGTCCCCAAAACCTACTTCCGTATTGCCTCCATCTCCATTGAAGGAGTCAAACAACACGGCTGGGGTAGTGGTGGCTGAACCCCCTAAAATGGCATGCAGCTCATCATAGAAGCGGCATGTTTGGGGCTCTGACCCAGAGCGGCTGTTCGCCTCTCTGGTTTTCTGGTAGGCTTGCCTCAGCTCCTTCAGTTTCACGCGGCACTGCTTCGGGTCCCTGTTATGGCCTCTGTCCTTCATGCCCTGGGAGATTTTCACAAAGGTTTTGGCATTTCGAAAACTGGAACGGAGTTCTGATAGCACGGATTCCTCTCCCCAAACAGCGATCAGATCCCGTACCTCCCGTTAGGTCCATGCTGGAGCTCTTTTGCGATTCTGGGACTCCATCATGGTCACCTGTGCTGATGAGCTCTGCATGGTCACCTGCAGCTTGCCACGCTGGCCAAACAGGAAATGAGATTCAAAAGTTCGCGGTTCTTTTCCTGTCTACCTGGCCAGTGCATCTGAGTTGAGAGTGCTGTCCAGAGCGGTCACAATGGAGCACTCTGGGATAGCTCCCGGAGGCCAATACCATCAAATTGTGTCCTCAGTACCCCAAATTCGAGCCGGCAACGTCGATTTAAGCGCTAATCCACTTGTCAGGGGTGGAGTAAGGAAATCGATTTTAAGAGCCCTTTAAGTCGAAATAAAGGGCTTCATTGTGTGGACGGGTGCAGGTTTAAATCGATTTAACGCTGCTAAATTCGACCTAAAGTCCTAGTGTAGACCAGGGCTTAGGTTCACACAAAACTTGAAGAATGGCTGTTTTCTTCCAAAAATCTGTGCGAAAAAGGCAGTTCATGTATGAATAAGACTATCCCCTGTTTGCCACTCAACATTCAGGGGCTTCACAGGCTGTCCCACTGGTAGTGGCTGATGAGGGGCTACACAGTATCAGCAGTCCCTTAGCCACTCCAGCTACATAGAATCATAGAAAATCAGGGTTGGAAGGGACCTCAGGAGGTCATCTAGTCCAACCCCCTGCTCAAAGCAGGACCAATCCCCAATTAAATCATCCCAGACAGGGCTTTTTCAAGCCTGACCTTAAAACCTTCTAAGGAAGGAGATTCTACCACCTCCCTAGGTAACGCATTCCAGTGTTTCACCACCCTCCTAGTGAAAAAGTTTTTCCTAATATCCAACCTAAACCTCCCCCACTGCAACTTGAGACCATTACTCCTTGTCCTGTCCTCTTCTACCACTGAGAATAGTCTAGAACCATCCTCTCTGGAACCACCTCTCAGGTAGTTGAAAGCAGCTATCAAATCCCCCCCTCATTCTTCTCTTCCGCAGACTAAACAATCCCAGTTCCCTCAGCCTCTCCTCATAAGTCATGTGTTCCAGACCCCTAATCATTTTTGTTGCCCTTCGCTGGACTCTCTCCAATTTATCCACATCCTTCTTGTAGTGTTGGGCCCAAAACTGGACACAGTACTCCAGATGAGGCCTCACCAATGTCGAATAGAGGGGAACGATCACGTCCCTCGATCTTCTGGCAATGCCCCTACTTATACATCCCAAAATGCCATTGGCCTTCTTGGCAACAAGGGCACACTGCTGACTCATATCCAGCTTCTCGTCCACTGTCACCCCTAGGTCCTTTTCCGCAGAACTGCTGCCTAGCCATTCGGTCCCTAGTCTGTAGCTGTGCATTGGGTTCTTCCGTCCTAAGTGCAGGACCCTGCACTTATCCTTATTGAACCTCATCAGATTTCTTTTGGCCCAATCCTCCAATTTGTCTAGGTCCCTCTGTATCCTATCCCTGCCCTCCAGCGTATCTACCACTCCTCCCAGTTTAGTATCATCCGCAGAGTAGTGGGTTCCACGCCCCTCTAAGGCCTTGTCCAGTCTAGGAAAAAAGTGATGCTTTATTTTTCAATGAGGTTAGTTGGCATGTTCTGCAGCTACACACAGCACTGACTATAGATGTGGTTTCAAATTGTGTTAGGTAGTCATGTACCCAGCTACATTCCTCCAGTAGAGGGGGGATTGCAGCCACTTAGCTCCACCTCAGTCTCCTACCTTCAGGGACGGCACTGGAGGGGGCTTGCGGGGCTATAGCCACCCCAAAAATTACCTTAGCCTGCCCGTAGCCACCTGGTAGCAGCCACCATGCTCCGGCCACCCAGCTGTGAAGGCAGAGCAGAGAAAGTGGTGGCTGCTGGCGGGGTATCCAGCTCTGAAGGTGGCAGTCCTGTTGCCAGCAGCAGCACAGGAGTAAGCCCAGGCGGAGGGTTCAAGAGCCATAGGCGCCGACTTCTGCGGGCGCCGGCAGGTGCTCAACTCTCCGTCTGCCCCCGGCCCCGCCCTGACTCCAACCCGGTCCCGCCTCCTCCCCCCACCCCGCCCCCATTCAAACCCCTTCCCCAAAGTCCCTGCCCCACCTCCGTCCCCTCCCTGTCCAGGGGCTCCCCATAGCAGCCTGAACTGACCTGCTCCTGCCCGGGCTTCTGGGCCCTACGCCCATGGTCGCTGCTCCCCAAGGGCTCTGCCAGCCCCGCAGGTGGGTCCCCCCACCCTGTTGGCTGTACCGGCTATGAGCAATCAGAAGGTGGGGAGGAGCTGAGGAGCAGCCAGCCAAGCCTGGGGTGGAGCCTCGGGGTGGGGGGGAAGGAGATGGGGCTGGAACTTACCTGAGGAGGAGCAGGGGCCAGGGCCATTGAGGGGGTGGGGCCTCATGCTGAAGGGGCTGCAGACCCCCCAATTTTCTGTCTAGCTCACCTCAGCCACCCACTATGAAGAGGCTGGCGTTGCCCCTGCCTCCCGGAGTGGAATTTCTGACAGTGGACCACTGCACCCAGGTTACTCCCACAGGGCTGGTGTCACTCTCAGTGGGTCTTAACACTTTTTCATTTGAAATCTAAGAGTGAAACCCCAGCCACACTTCAGTGGGGCCAGGATTTCACCCCAAGTGTCAAAAGTCTCCATGAACATTTGGGGATTCCCTCAAGCTCTGTTCAATATACAGATACTATTAGGTTTACCTTTGAGAAACACATCTTGTATTCAGCTCAAAATCAATGTAATTATCTTTGTTCCAGTCATATCTAACCATTTTGCCAATTCCCTTCGCCAGCCCTTACAATAACAGATGTTGGAAGAAATGATGCTGCTCAACAACTGCTGCCAACTCCCCATTTCCCTCTCCCTCCAAGGCTCACATTAATGTCATTTAAGCCACCACTAGCTGATTCTCAACTAGTATCTTTGAGTCAAACCTTTGATAAGATGTTACTTGAATGATCCCTCCCATGTAAAATGCCTAAAATGTATTTAGGTAAAAGCTATTGAGTAAAAAGTAAAGATATTGGCCAAATAGAATAAAAGACTTAATGATTAAACCACAAAAACATATTTAAATGACGCTGTCAACTTAATCAGACTTTTATCTGAAATGTTTCTCTACTGCTGTTTGAATCTATTTCACTATAAATGAAAGTCATTAGAGAAATTATTTTCTTTATTTTTCCAGTTTATTTTTTGCATTATGGACTTTTCACTCAATCCTCTATGTAGTTATTCAGTTATTTCCCCCTTTTTGTTTGTGTGGATTTTTCAGACAACACCAGGGGATACATAAATGTTCTTTTAAAAATGGGTATGTTGAAATTTAAACCCACAAAAATTGGCCAGGGGCAGGGGAGGGCTCAGAACCAA